GACGCTGCGCTGCGGCCAGATGTGGGCGGATGTGTGGGCCGGCCGCGCGGGGGCGGGCGCCGAGGGGAAGAGCGGCTCCCCTTTCCAGGGCGCAGGGGTCCTCCAGTGTTTACGCAGCAAACAAAGTTCGCCTGCCTCCCTTCCCGCGCTTGGGGCGTCGCAAGGGTTAAGCGGCTGTGCGCTCGCCCGCTGCTCCGCTGGGGCCTCGGTCGGTCGGGTGAGCAAGAGCCGGCCTGGGGGCTCACGAGCGCGCGCATTAAGTGGCTGGACACTGAAGGTTCCCGAACCCCACCCGCTGCATACGCCCCTGCAGCCCATCACCCTGCCATCCCGGAGTACAGCCTGCGCCCCGGGGACAGGAATCGGGCAGAAGAATGGAGAGCCCCTGCCACTACAGCTAGGGATGTGTGCGTCCCCCAAATAGGGGGGCTTCTTCAGGGCAGAGCACGGACCCGGCCTGCCACCTGGTAAGGACAAGCTATTCATAGGCCTGAAGAAAGGAATGAGCGAACTAGGAGAAGGGGAGCTGCCCCCTGCCGATCCAGCCAGGCCTCCTGCAGTCAAGGACGTAGGGGTGTTTAGATGCCCTTGTGTTTCCAGACCTAAGGCCTGGCCTTCCCTCCAGAACAGAAGTCCCTAGCTCCTCTATTCACTCCACAAACATTGATGAAAATCTATTACCTACAAGGAGTTCTGATGCCACAGTGCCTAAGGCATTTTGACTGTTAACCAGAAGGCTAGCGGTTCAAACCCACCAGCTGCTCCTCAGAAGGAAGACAGGGCAATCTACTTCTGTAATGATTTACTGCCTCGGAATGTCAAGGGGGGTCGCTATGACTTGGAATCGACTTGGTGGCAGTGGGTTTGGTTTCTTGGTGACCTACAAGGCAAGTGGGTCCCAGGGACTAGGGACAAAATGCTGGGTTACACACAGAACTTGAGAAGCAACAAGCCACTGCTCACTCCCAGGAAGAGCCCTCCAGGTGTGCACTTTTAAGGCCTTAAAAGACGTAGCCCAGGGCCAGCCCTGGAAAGTCTGATTCCACAGGTCAGGGAGCTCAGGAACCTGCATTTGTACAAGCCCCCTCCCCCCCACCCCGGGGCATATGTAGGCGGCAGTGGCCCCAAGAGGCATTGTCACCCACACCATCCTTGTCCTGCCCATGACACTCCCACCTGTTCCCTCAGACGGCCACCCCATGACCCTAGACTCAGGACTCTGCCTTGGGCACAAAGTGGGAGAGCCCTGGAGAATTCACAGCAGCTAGGAAGGCTCCAAGGGCCCTGGAGGGCGGTGGCTAAGGGCTCAGCTGCTAATGAAAAGGTCAGCAGTTGAACGCCCCAGCTGCTCTGCCGGAGGGCTGTTCCCCTAAAGACTGCAGCCTTGGAAACCCTATGGGCTTGTTCCACTCTGTCCTCTAGGGGCGCTGTGAGTCAGACACAACCCCACAGCCCCTCTCCCTGACCCAAATGAGCCCTGCGACATGAGATAACAGTCTTGCTGCTGAAAGTGAAGATGACTTGAAGCACTTCCTGATGAAGATCAAAGACTACAGCCTTCAGTATAGATGACACCTCAACATAAAGAAAACTGAAATCAATAAGCAAAAACATGATAAACAGAGAGAAAACTGAAGTTACCAAGGATCTTGTTTTACTTGGATCCACAGTCAATGCCCATGAGAACAGCAGTCCAGAAATCAGACCTCGTATTGCACCGGCAAATCTGCAGCAAGGGATCTTTCAAGTGTTCAGGAGCAAAGATGTCCCTTTGAAGACTAAGGTGCACCTGACCCAAGCCCTAGTATTTTCAATCACTATATGCATTCAAAACCTTGCCAATGAGTAAGGGAGGATGAGGAAGAATTGATGCATTTGAATCATTGTGTTGGTGAAGAGTATTGAATATACCATGGGCTGACGGCCAGAAGAATGAACAAATCTGTCTTGGAAGGTGTCCAGCCAGAATGCTCCTTAGAAGCAAGGATGGTGAGACTTCACCTCACGTGTTTTGGACACGTTCTCAGGAGAGACCAGTCCTTGGAGAAGGACATCGTGCTTCATAAAGTAGAGGGCCAGTGAGAAAGAGGAAGACCCTCAATGAGGTGAACTGACACAGGGGCTGCAATGATGGGCTCAGATTAGCAACGATTTTGAGGATGTGCGGGACCAGGCAGGGTTCCGTTCCCGCTGTGCGTGGGGTCGCTGTGAGTCAGAACTGACTTGACAGCAGCCAACAACAGCTACGACTGTCCCCACACGGCCATGGGCAACCCTGCAATACTGTCTCTAAGTTGTGGCATCTGTGTGCCCAGGAGCTTATCCTGGGCCTGGGCCTGCTCACTACACACCTCTCCCCTCCCTGACTCACCCCTTCTGAAAGATCCCAAACGTGGGGGGAGGGTGGCAGCTGGGCTCTTAGGCACCTGTGGGAATACACTAGGTTTGCTGGGTGCTTTTAAGTAGATGAAATCGGGCTTGCCTTTAGGAGAAGCAGTCACTCCCTCTCTCATACTTCAGATATTTTGAACTATTTTCAACCAAGTGAGTTTGTGGGCATGAGAACTGCAAACCCACAGGATGTCAGATGTGCACACACCCTCGTCTGCCCGGGAGCCCCAAGTTCCAGCAAAGGAGCCTGGAATGGCCCCTGAAGGCTCCCGCACTAGCCCCGAGCACCTCTTGTCTGCAAAGCAGCAACTGGCGGGCCATCTGTCCCCGTGGTATTCGGGGGCTTGTGGTCCCGGCCGTGAGCCACGGCCCCAAAGAAACAGCCTGAGCCCACGGCAGGTTCCAGGGCCTCCAGGGCGAAGTCCAAGCAGGGCCCCAGCAGCATTCTCAGGGTTTTTATCCAAAGCACCAGGTGAGTGGAGACACACCCATGCGATTGTTCTCCGGGGAGCAGGCATCCCGTTCGGCCAGATTAGCACGGGCATTGAGTTTGCATTCACGGTGGAGCTAAGGAGATACACACTTCCTCCAGGAGCCCAGCCAGGGTGCACGCCTCCCCAAAGCGCTCCCCTCTGGGAGCCCGAGGGACAATGGCAGGAGGCAGCCAACCTCCTAAGCCAGGAACTGTAGGACTGTGTCCCAGAGGCACCCAGACCCTGCCACCTCCATGCGGGCAGGCGTTGCCAGGCCTTGAGCCCTTCAGGTAAGGAGACTCCCCAGCCTGCCCCAGGAAACCCATCCCACGGCTTGGTCTTGCTCCCGGCCAGGAAGTTCGCCCTGGTACCTAACCAACGGCTCCAACTCTTTCCTCCTTTTTCCCTCTGCCCCTGGAGGAGATGGGAAACAGCTGGGCACCACCCTTCAAGTCATAACGACCTTCTGCAGACGCTGGGACAGTCCACTTGTTCCGTCCCCTTGTCTTTCTCAGCTCCAACCACGCGGCCCAGCCCTCTAATCATCTCGGCTCTCCTTTGATCCCTTCTGATGACTGAGCCCGTTTGGAGGCTCCAGGATTTTAATAAGGGCCTGATCGAGAGGGAGTGGCGTGAGCCCTCGAGGCGGGGGGCTGGGCAGACGGTGCTAGCAAGGCCCGGGATGGATAAAATGAACAGCACCATCTGAGAAGGAGCTCGGATCTGGCCAGAAAAAAAAAAAAAAAACCCAGCAAGGCCTCTGCATGCCGTAAGGAGGCGGTCTCCCAAGGCCACAGAACGTCACGACCAGTCCAAGGATGACCAAAGGGGATGGTGTGATTTGGGGAGGGGGATGCCACAGAGGCTGCCAACTTACAGGTCCACCATGAGATCTGCTGTGGGTTGAGTTGTTGTTGTTGTTGTTATGTGCCGTCGAGTCAGCCCTGACTCATAGCGACCCCTCCTTGGGTTTCCGAGGCAGTATCACTACGGAAGTAGGATTGCCCAACCTGTTGAGTGGTGGCTCCAAAAAGTATCCATCCTCCCAGAATCCCTGGATGTGGCCTTATTTGGTGTAAGAGCCGCTGCAGATGTCCCTGGAGTCCCTGGGTGGTGCTAGCGGTTAACGCACTGGCTGTTAACGGAAAGGCTGGGGGTTCGAGACACCAGAGGCACCTCATAAGAGAGGCCTGTCAATTTACTTCTGAAAACCCAGGCCCTGAGGATCCCACGGAGCCCATTCTACCCTGGCACACATGGGGCTGCCCTGAGTCGGGCTGACGCAACGGCTGGTGGGAGCGCACAGACTCCTTCTTGGGAAGCACCCAGAGATGAGCTCATCCTGGGTGGGCTCTAAGCCCAACGATGAGTGTCCTTATAAGAACAGAAAAGAAGGAGGCAGACACGCGGCAGAGGAGGGGATGTGGAGACGGGACAGAAGGTGCCGGGACGCTGCTACAAGCCAAGGACCCTGGGGCCAGCACAACCTGGAAGACGGGAAGGATTCTGCCCTGGGCCTCAGAGGGAGTGGGAGCCTGCCAACGGGACCTGCCCTCCGGACCTGTGGCCTCCACAGACGTCAGGGAGCACACGTCTGCCGCCGGGAAGCGCCCACGTGCGATGATCAGAGCTCACAGGGAACACACACGGACCTACAGGCCTTAGCGTCCCACCTGAGCCGTTCGGGTGGGTAAAGCCTCAGCTCCCAGAGCTGTCTGATATGTCGCGGCACCTGGTGCAGGTGTGCACGCTGTCTGAGGGCGTGAGCGAGGGGGCCATGCCGGGCAGCAGGTTCTCAGGGAAAAGCCGCGGGGCCGGTAGGGAAGGTAAGAGACCGACGCAG